AAACTAAATAACTAAGGTAAGTTTTCTAACTTTTCTACCTAACTATTATTCTAAGGAAAAGTTTAGTTGGTAGTGTTTAGTTTACTTGGTCGTTATATATATATATATATATATATATAACTCTAATTTTATTTTTGGAACGTGAAGAACAAAATGAAGAGAAAGTTACTGAAGACTTAGGAAGCCCAGAGCAAATTTTGTAGGGGGCTCTCAGAAATGAATTTCATAAATAACTTAAATATAACTCTGTACTATTTATTAACTACAGTTTGAGAAATTCATACACACAAGCGATGGGTAAATAACATTTAATATACTATATTTATAATAAATATAAAATAATGACAATGAACGTTTATGAAAGAACGAGCTGCCAGGAATGAGCTGTTACAAATGAAAAACTACAAAATAATAGGTTTATAGGAAGTGACTAAAAGCGTTCTTGTCATAGTGACAAAGTTGCAATCATATGTTTTTCAATGAGACATCCAGTTTTTGATTAATTTTTTTTATCAGTCTCTTAGTCGGAGAAGAGGCTTCGCTCCAGGGTTCTTGGGGCATCATTTGTCGCCCTCTTATTCCGGCCCTATGTGCTAGGGGCTTTTGATGTACGTCTTGTAGACGTTTCCTAATTTTTTATCTTTGTCGTAGACAATGAAAGGAATACTTTTTAGTTTAGGACAGAAAACTTGGCATTCTAAAGGTAAAAATAAATACTTTTGCATATTCTGAATTTTTTACTTTTATCAAGTGTTATTGAGCTATGGGTTCAATCTGCAGGATAATTTAGTAATAAGTCACTGCTGTGTACTTAAGCACTGCTATTATGTTAACAGACACATACACAAACGTACATACACAATTGAACGCCAGCCAGTTAGGACTAATCATGCAGTATTTTTTTTCAGATAGTATAAGATAAAGAGGACAAAACAGCACACATTAAATTAGAATAATTGTGGCATGTTAAGCAATTCTAAATGCCTTTTCATTAACACGTTTGCACAAGCTACCTTGATAATTTATGAAACTCAGCTGAAAATATTAAGATTGTTAAAAAAAGAAGTAATTAATTTGTGTGTAACTTTAAAATAAAAAGTAAACGAACTTATTATTCGTCAACATTATGTAGAGTTGAATAGCGATTACCAGCTTTTTTTGCGTTTTTAAAGCATCATTTTCTTTCACATCACCGAAACTATTAAGGTTTTATTATTTCCACTGAAGATACTGTTCAACAGAGTTCAACGCTCATGTAATCGTTACTGCTCCTAATGGCATATAAAACAAAATGAACCATTAAACTAGAAATAATAAGTTATTTTGTCCATTAGCAACCTAAACTGAAGAAAGAAGAAGATAAATCTTCACGTACCTAAAGTTTGAAGAAGGAAACAGAGCTGTACGACATGTATTTTTTTTTTTCAAATCAGATTAATTTGCCTCTTAAAACATCATACGTGGGTACACAGATATTTAAAGTTAAACGTGTTCTGATAACCCTCCATGGCATGATATATCTGGTATAAGTTCAACCCCCTGTTCTCTTCCCCACTACTTGCACAATACAATCACATTTATTTAAACTATACACTGAATGGTCACAAGTAAATAGACACCTAATTTTTCGTCATTTAACTGATTTATTCTACCTAATTTGTGTTTACAGAGCAATATATAAATGAAAATGGTCCGCACGCTAATTATCCTGTGCTTCAAAATGCCTAGATCTCAAGG